CAGTGTACACCGAACTCCAGAGGTAAAGCTCATGAGCTTTAGTTACAAAGTCATTCCTCGTCAAACTTGCTAGACTTTATAAAAATAATCTGTGGTATAAAACAATCTTCGCACTATGTAGAAGAAATCTGGCAGGTGATATAACTAAATATATATGTAGAGCTATAGATTCTCTTAAAGTTTCAAGTGTCATCTCTATTAGATAACCTATCTTATTTACAATGCTACTTAGCAACATTCCAACGCAAGGTGATTAGAGGAGGCAGGGGGACTGGCCTGTCCCCCACCAGCACAAGTTCCTGGGACCCGAGACAGAATTCACCCACTGGCAACAAACGCTCCCCCCGCCACCCCCCACCTGCTCCAGAAGTTCTAACCAACGGGTCACTTTCCCCAAGAGCTTCAAAATCTTAAACTTCGCAGGATCCGCCCAACACTTTCAGCTCGACCTGCACCACACACACACACACACACACACACACACACACACACACCACACACGTACGTGTGGCCCTGGGGAGGTCCTGGATACTGTGGTTCTCAGTACTGCCGGGGGGGAAGGGATGGGATGGGGGGTAGGTAGACAATCCCAGGACACGGCCCTGGAGGGGACAAGAGCATCTTAGGGGACATGCTCAAGACCCCACTTGTGTCACCTCCGCGCACTGCTGGGGGGCAGGTAAAGCATAGAGTTTGGCACAACAGGGAAACACACACACACAGAGGAGCCCAAACAAAAGATCTCACGTCACACCTGGAAGATAGTCGCGACAGTATAAAAAATTTGGTAAACTTACAATGGTAAACTCTTTTTTTTTTTTAAATTCAAATTCTTCTCTACACCAACATTTACAGTGGGCCCCGAATGGGTCCAAAACATTCAAAATATTTCACCAGAAGATTTGAACTTCTATTTGTCGACAGTCTGTGGGCCTCTGGGTCCCACTACCTATTAAAAAAAAAAATTGCGTTTGAGTCAACTGAATTAATTGCCAAAGAGGTGGAAAGAGTTATCTGAAAGGTCAATTTTAATTTTTTTTTTTTCCTACAAAACTAAATCATTAGCTCAAAAAACCATTTCCCAGCCTTTCAAAGTTTGGGATACATTCATAAGGGAAGATTGCTAGTTGCAATCAACCACCGGAACTGTGGAGAATTACGCAACTGAACCCTGAATTCACGCACTACTGACAAGTCTAGACTGAGAAGACGCACGGTTCATGAATTACTGGACCTGTTCGATTACAGCAGGACTACTGAGTAAGACTTCAGGCTGCTCATGGCCGGGTTGTACACATGAACTGCTGAGAGTCTGGTGGGCTCAGCTTTCGTCAGCAGCCCCCGGCCCCAGGAGAAACTGTGATCCGGGGTCAGGTGCCAGGCCAGCGTCGAGCAGACACCTGCCTGGCTGCGTCACCGGAGTCACTGGCGGAAACCCAGCAGGCTACAAGGAACGGAGCCCCCAGAGCAAACTCCTTCTCTACCGAGTCAAAAGCCAGAAAATGATGACGGACTCTTCCACTTCCGATATCAACCGCCACCACCACACTTGCGCTTTGTGGAAAACTAAACCAAACACTAACAGCAAATCCTTGTGTTACCATGAGGTGCTGGGAACTTCAGCTTGCACATCAAAGGCTAAATTCTGCTCCCCAGAGGGCATCTGGGCCAATCTCTGTGCCCTCAAGGCTTGGGCCACACAACAGCACACACTGAAGACCAAACTGGGCTCATCCCAAGGGAATACAGCCACCCAGCCCAGCACCCAGAGGACAGAAGGACAGAACTGTGGGCTCATGGGCTTTGATTTCTACTGCATCCAGCAGGGAACACGAGAGAAGCGACTTCCTCTTTGGCTGACAACACGTGACAAGGAGGCTGGCGCTTCCCCAAGATGTCGCCACCTCACACAAGTGCCCCAAGCTTACACAAGGACTTGCAGTACCTGCAGCAGGCAATCAGGGGCACGGCCTCTCCTGGCACAGCTAGCAGGACAAGGTAGCCATGCCGGACACAAGGAGTGGTGATGCTCAGACACCTGCCCTCTCTCCAGGAGCCACCGGCCAAGGCCCTGGCCTGCCCCAGGAGGAAACCAACTCCTGCTGGCCCTGGGTGCTGGGAAGACTGCGTGGGTCCCACCGTCACTGGCACCTCTCTGTGGTCCTCACTGGCTTCCCTCTTCTGCTCATTCCGCCAGGGATGACTTCCCAGTTGCCAAGGTTTTTTGCAAACAAAATCGCTGCCCTTCCCTAACCCTGGCACACACCCACAAGCCAGCAGCCTACCCCCAAGATCTCAGCTCACTTAAAAGGAAGAACCAGGGACCCTGGCTGCCTGTCTCCTGTGACATGCTTTCCACAGAGCGGGAGGCCAAGTACGCCACTGAAGGCAGCAGTTCTTTAGGCTACCAGAAATGCATGTGGCAGGAAATCCAGGAGGGGCAGACAGAGGCCCCATGACCCCAAGATGCAGATCCACGGCCTAGCCAGCTCCCTCTACAAAGGACACGAGCCAGAAAGGAGACCCCATTTCTGGAGGAGCTTCCAGTGCCACACCGGAAGGAGATGCCCCCTTCTGACCACACATGCGCCCAGGTGCACCCCTGAGGGCATCACTGGGGCTGAGCAGTCCAACACCTGCCTGAGAAAGGGGCATGGCTCCTAGACCCCTCCACCCCCCGGCAGCCCAAGGGACACCAGGGTGACAGGGTACAAGGCCCGCAGAGCCAGGCTCAGGCTCACAAGGCCCGAGGGGAAGCCACATGGGCAGGAGGCGTCAGGTCACTGGCTGGTGGGGGGGGTGGGGGCAGAGGAGCCGGGAACGCCCCCACACTGCCTGAGGAGAAAGCTAAAGAAATCAGATATGGCACTTTTCAATAAATATCTTAAAGCTTTGTAAAGAAATAGGCAGAGAAGAAAAAGCAACTGTTTTAAGGCCCGTTTTGCCATGAAAAATATTCTCAAGGCAAGGGAGAAAAAGAATTTCACAGCACAAAACCAAAGAGTTGATAAAATGAGAGAGAGAGAGAGAGAGAGAGACAATCGTTTGCCGAGACCAGAACAGGACACCTGTCGCCATAACCACGTGGCCAGCTCACACCTTGACACATGAAGACAGAACCAGCCGGCAGAGGAAGACCCTCGTGGCCTCTCCCCAACACCCATGCCCAAGCCCCCAACCCATCCCCAGGGAAAAGAACAACGCCAGCCGCAGGCCCCAGACCCAGCCTCCAGCGCCCTGAGCGGGCAGCGGGTGCCAAGCGGCAAAAGGTGCCATCCCACGCCACCCCTCGGTGTCACTGCCCACCAGCAGCAAGACACCTGCCAGCAAGCGCCGAGAGCCCTCCCCGTGCGGTCGTACCAAGTCAGAGTGTTTGCACAGGGTTCTTCTGCATGGGGGGCTGGGGGAGGAGCGGCCAGGACCCGAGTCAACGCGTCCTCAAGGCCAGGGGGCCCCACCTGCCCGCCCACCTGCCTGCCCCCCATTTACACAGGGCGCCGGAAACGGAACTGCCGCCGGAAACGGAACTGCCGCCGGAAATGGAATCCCCGCCGCACTCCCCAGAAGACACAAGCCGCGTGGGATTGCCTTTTTTTTTTAAGCTTTTTTTTTTCTTTTTCTCTATTTCTTTTAAAGTTCCTATTGTAAAACCTAACTTACACGAAAATATACTCACTACAGGACAACACAACTAACAAAATAGATAATAAAACTTACACAAGTAGAAAAATCTGAGGTATTTCTGGTTTGAGGTGGTCTGTGGTCGTGAAGTTTTCATTCTTTTTTACTTTTCAAAATTGAAACCTCGGAAGCCACATAGCCAAAGCGTTGTGTGTATGTGGATGCAAGTGTTGTTGTTTGGAGAAAGAAAAAAATTCGCATATTTTATAAATTAAAAAATAAAATCAGATATTGAAACAGCAGCATTAAGAACATTCACTAAGAGCAAGGTCATGGCGGAATAGAAAAAACGGTTTTTCAGTAATATGCACCACTTGGAGGGGTCTGGAGAAAGCTGAGTCCACGAGCCACAAGAAAGGGGACAGTCCCCGTCGCCACACTGGCCACAGGCAGGGCTGCAGGGAGGCGCGTCCCTGAACTGCTCCAGGAGGAACGGGGGTCCCCACCGCGCCCCCAGCCATCGAGTTTCACGAAGAATGCATCGCCCCACTCTGATCACGCCCACCCTCCCAGACCCGCTTGGCTCGGCGGCCAAGCCCGGGCTCAGGCGGCAACCTCTGAGGCAGGCCCGGTGCTCCGGCTCTCTCCAGACCCCTGCCCGCAGCGCTCTCGCCCCGGCCCCTTGCCCTCGAGGCCTGATTACCTGAGAAGTAGCCTCCACAGCAGGGCACGCACGCGGCTCCACGCGTGCCCGAGTCCAGTGTCGCTCTCTGCCAGAGCCCGCCCCGTCCACGCGCGTGGTCCTCCCGCCGGCCCCCTGCTCACGCCCTGCTCCCACTGAGCACCGCCCCAGGGAGATCCAGGGCCATCCGGGCCTGGGGGCGGCTGTGGTTTCTGAAATTCGTTGAGGGGAGACCACCCAGCCACCCAGCCACCTGGACAGGGTGGGGCGGGCGGGCAGGAAGGGGTGCTCTGATGTAACAGTCTTCGAAGGTCCTTGAGTACATTGCAGCATTAAGGTTGCTAAGACAGGAGATGGGTGGGTGGGGTGTCACAGATTCTGAGAACAGAGAGAGGCAGGACAGGCGTCCGGGGGGGACAGGAGGCGGCGGAGGCTCCTCAGCAGGGCGCTGGTTCGGCATTCACAGCTCAGCACCCCAACACCTGCTGACGTGTCCGCTGTTTGCGATACAGTAGAGCGAGATGCTGGTAAAAACTGATCCGATCCCCCCCCCCCAAAATAACATTAAGAATAATTATTATAATAATTATAATAATAATAAAAAGTCAAGGTAAAATAGCAGCTGCATTGTATGTGTTTGTTGGTGTTTGTGGGATTTCCAAAACAAAACACAACTTTTCTTTTTCCTTTCTTCTTCTTCTTCAGATCCGCCGAGTCTGGACAGAGGCGCGCGTGGCCCGGGGTTAGATGCTGGACTCTTTAGGAGGCAGGTCCACGTTGGTGACGGAGGTCACCAGGGAGACGAGACAGTCCGAGGCGGTGCCGTTGACGGACCTCCGGATCAGGGACACCCGCTCCTCCACGCAGCCAGCCGACAGGCGAGCCTCGGCGTCGTGGTCCCAGCACTCCTCGATGGTCACGCAGAGCTGGGCCAGGCCCTGCACACAGTGTGAGGAGAGGGCGTGACCCTCGTTAGGACCATCCAGCCACACCACAGCTGCACAGCATCAACCAGGGGCTGCAGCACCTGCAGGAACTGGGACGCCTGCTGTATGGGGGGGACCCAGCCTGAGCCCACTGGCCTCCATGCAACGCTCAAGGCCAGACTGAACCGCCACACAGGAGGACGGAGAAGCCAGGCCCTGCCTGGGGGTGGACGCGGCTGTGAGCCTTTACACAGTGACATTGGGCCAAAGCCCTTCGTAAAGCCACAATCCCGCAGCACCAAAGGGTAAGGCTTCACCCATTCGAGAAAATTCTCCACACCTCCCGGAGCCCCGGGAACACGGCTGCGTCGCCCTCTCCCCACCTCCCTGCAGAGCCGCTCCCCGCCCCTCACCGGGTGCTTCAGCCAGTGGTCCTTGATGGTGGGCCTCATCTTCTTGTGCACCACCACCTCCTGCAGCTCCTCCAGGGAGGGGTGCTGGCCAATCTCCTCCTCGAAGGGCAGCATGTACTCACCTACAGGTCCTGGGGGGAGGGGAGACAGCGCTGGGGCGGTCAGCCCGAGGTCCTGCGGCTCCAGGACCCCAGTTCCTAGGGCTCGGCCTACTCACCATCTGCGGCCTTGCAGCGTGACACCAGCTCCCACAGCACCAGCCCCATGGCGTACATGTCAATGCGCAGGAAGGCGTCCCTCTGGAAGTTGATGGCTCCTTCCAGCACCTCGGGGGCCATGTACCGTCTTGTGCCCACCTGGACAAGGGACAGACGGCAGGGTCTGCAGTCACTGACCATGCACGGACTTCGCACAGCACGAGGGCACGGGAGCCTCAGCCTGTGTGTTCCAGACGGGGTGGGCAAGACCCTGCAATTCACAGCAGGGTAAAGGATGGCTTGCTGTCACCACACATGCTCAGGCCCGGCGCGGTGGCGCAGTGGTTAAGGTCCTCGCCTTGCACGCCCGGGATCCCATATGGGCACCGGTTCTAATCCCGGCAGCCCCGCTTCCCTTCCAGCTCCCTGCCTGTGGCCCGGGAAAGCAGTCTAGGACGGCCCAAAGCTTTGGTACCCTGCACCTGCGTGGGAAACCCGGAAGAGGCTCCTGCTCACGGCTCAACTGCCACAGGCCCAATGGAATCATACTTCCAGGGTAATTCAAAAATATCTCAAGACATTAATATAATATAATATAATATAATATAATATAATATAATATAATATAATATAATATAATATAATATAATATAATATGCCTGGGCCCAGTGCAGGAGCCTAGCAGCTAAAGTTCTCTCCTTGCACGCACCAGGATACCATATGGACGCAGGTTGTGTCCTGGCAGCCCCACTTCCCATCCAGCTCCCTGCTTGGGCCCTAGGAAAGCAGTCAAGGATGGCCCAATGCCTTTGGATCCTGCACCAGCGTGGGAGACCCAGAAGAGGCTCTGGGCTCCTGGCTTCAGATCGGCTCAGTTCCAGCCGTTGCAGCTGCTTGGGGAGTGAGTAAACGGATGGAAGATCTTCCTCTCTGTCTCTCTTTCTCTCTGTATATCTGACCTTCCAATAAAAATAAATAAATCTTAAAAATATATACTATACTGAAACATCCAACAGTAAGAACTGGAATGGGCTGAAGGCCAGTCAGGAAAGGCTACTGTTCCTGCTAGGACAGGAGGTGGACTAAGTATGGCTGGCCCATGGACCCCTGGTATGCGTGAGATCTGGCACTGGGAGAGGTTCTGATGGAGGAGCCTGGGCAACTCTTCTGGCAAGACACAGTCCCTGCAGGTGAGCACACGAACCACAAAAGGGAGCAGCCCAGACCAGGCCAGGGAACCGTACCCACTGGCATACATTTGGCATAGGTTGGGGGCAGATCCGGCTGAACTAGTTCACATCACCTGCTGGCAAATCTGAGCATCAGAACAGAGAGTGAGTTGGGTCAGGTTTGGTTGCAACACATACCAGTACACATTACAGCTGGGATTGAGTGCATGCTGGGCTGGGCTATAACCCTCACCAGCGTCAGCTGGAACTGGGGGGTGGCCCAGGCCGGGCCAGGCTACAGCACCCACTAGCAAATGCTGAGGTGAAGGGGGCCATGCCAGACTGGGCCGCAGTACCCAACCAGCACGTGTAAGAAACACGGAGGGAGTGGGTAAAGCTGGTAGGGGGAATGTGGAGGGCTCCCCCCGCTGGACAGCCATGCCCACTGGAGAGCATGGGTTGGGATGGGGGCAGACAGACCAGGGAGGGCTACAACACCTGTGGGCCTCATATGAGCTAGATCAGGGAAAAGCCAGGCTGGGTTGACTGTCCCTACTGGTGCAAACATAAATCACAATGGGTGAGGGTTGGTTGGGCTTTGCTGCAGCATCAGCTGATAGATGCTGGCCCCGGGGGTTAATTCTATCAAGCTAAACTGCAGAACCACCTGGAAAATGCTTGATCCAGCAGTGGGAGTGGCCCAGTAGGGAGATAGTGGACATCTCCCTCTTGGGTTACCACTACCACTGGAGAGCATGGAAACCAGGAATGGGGCAGGCGTGGCTGAACAGAACAGCACCTGCCAGTATGTGTGTGGGCTGGTTAGGTTGAACCAGGTTTCAATGCCCATTGACGTGTACGAGAGCTAAATGGGATGTGGGAGAGACTGGACCAGTCTGTAGTACCTACTGGCAAGCATGGGAACCAGAGCAGGGGCTGGCCTGGTGGGGGTTACTCTGACTAGGCTGCAGCTCCCACTGGTTTGTGTGAGGGCCGAGTATGTGCTGGGCAGAATCGGGCTGGACTGCAAAACCTATTGGTGTGTGGAAGACAGGGCTGGAAACAGAACTGACCCAGCAATGGCAACCACCAGCTGACTGGGGCAACAGACTGTACCAGACCCTGTACTGGCATGCACACACAAGAATCAGGTCTGGAATCACTCTAGATAAAGTTTCTTGGGGCTCCACCTGAACTGCTGATCTCAGAACCCCAACCATGGAGAGAATTGCAGGTTCCATGGTCTGACCATGGAGTGCATGTGTCAGAGCCGAGCCTCCTCAGAGGCTCAGACGGAACAGTGGACAGCATATCCAGATGCACATGGAGGATATGGCAGTCCATCGGAACCTGCACAGGACACCTGGTACCACAACAGAGGATGGAGGACAGAACAAATCAATCATCTACCGCAGCCATGTGTTGGCAGTGAAAATCTGGGCAAACGGATACTCTAAGGTGGACTATGTCAGCCAGTGGATTCTGGAGATTTCATCGTGTTTGGAATGGGGAGATTGGTAATAATTCGGAACTGTTGAACTATCAAAACCACCTGAGCAGGCCCCTCGGAGCATGCCCCACTTCAGAGACCTGGGATGGCTGGGAGGCTGGGTGGGGCTTCTCCCTTTATCTCCTCCTTTACCCCAGATACAGAACAAAAAAAAAAAAAAAGAGAGAGAGAGAATGTGGAAACAATAGTCTTACCCATTTTCCTGTAGCCCTTGACCCTTTGTGTCCTTATCAACTATGTAAAGGTTGTCAAAATAAAGTAATTTCAAAATATATATATATATACTATACTATAATATGGTCGCACAGACACTGCTCGGCATGCCAACAACCCATTTAGGAGTGCCTGGCTACAGGGTGCAGCTCTGCTCACCACTGCAGCTTCCTGCTCATGTGCATGCTGGAAAACAGCAGACAACGGTTCTGGTCAACCATGTGGGAGACCTAGACTGACCCAGCTCCTGACCCAGCCCACCCTGGCTGTCATGGGCATCCTGGGGTCTCAGTCTTTGTGCTTTTCAAATCAGTTAAGATAAAGAAATGCAATTTAAAAAAGAAAAGAAAAGAAAAGAAAAACATAGCCAGGAACAGGTGTTTGCTATACCACTGCTTGGGACAGCCACATTCCAGTTAGGGTTTCAGCCCCCTGCTGCCAGGAACCTCACATGGCTCAAATGCATGGCAATCGGGTAACTGACACGGACTCAAGTCTGAATTTAAAAACCGACCGGAGTTGCTGCCCGCTTTCTCCGTGTGCGGGAGCCACACCAGCGTGCAGGCCTGCGTCTCCCACGGAGCGAGAAAGACACACGATTCACACGGTGACCCTCACACCTCACCCGGTCCAGATTCCCTCCTGTTTACCACCCCCCCACGCCCCCCTGGTTCCTTTACCTGTCCATGTGTGTCTCCTGGAGGCTTCCCTGGCTCGAACCGAACGGCCAGGCCAAAGTCAGCCAGCACAGCGGTGAGGTCGCTCTTCAGCAGGACGTTCTTGCTCTTGAAGTCCCTGTGGACACAGCGGGTCAGGACGAGCATCGACAACCTGCTCTGGCCTTGGCCTTGGCCTGTGCCTGACCTCTTGGCTCCTACCCCCACGCGCCCCGGGAGCGCCCCAGTGCAGACGCTGAACAGGCGAGCAGCTCCCGGAGTGCACGGCGGATGCAGGCAGACCCCATATGACCGCAGACAGAGGCTGCTGCCAGGGCGGCCATCATTAACACCCACTCGGGGGGCTGGCCAGAGCCTTGTCCTGGCCGCCCCCTCACTCTCAGGCAAGATGGCCCAGGTCGTGTCCCAGACACTCGGCTTCTGAAGCAGCTCCCTGCCAAGGCCCCTGAGAAGGTAGTAGCAGATGCCCCAACGTAGGAGACCAGGGTGGAGTTCTTGGCTGCTGGCTTTGGCCTAGACCAGCCATTGTGGATGTGGCCATTTGGGGAGTGAACCAGTAGGCGGAGACCAATCTCTTTGTCTCTGGCGCTCTGCCTTTCAAATAAATAAATAAATGAGCCTTTAAGAATGTTTCAAAATGTAACTCAAGGACTCTGAAAGTCTCTGAGGCTCTTTGAGAAAGTCTACAAGGTCAAAATCATTTTCCCCACTAATCCATTATTTGCCTTGTCTAAGCTCATTCTCTACAGGATTGATGCCATTACTGTCACAGCCAATGGAAGGCGTGTGCCTCACCCAGGGAAGCACCCACGGAAAGGAGCCACATTCACTGGATTTCTTTGTGAGTATACAACGATATTTGAGAGCGGCAGAGCTAACCATCAGATCCAAGCTGCAGAGTCAGCACTTTCTTGCGTGGCCACCAGAGGGCACCAGAAAACCAGCGGGGGGGGGGGCGACCACACCGACCCCGGGACCTGATCACGGAAGGCCAGGTCGCGTGTCCACTTGCCTCCGCCACAACTCGAGCAGACCAAGCACCTGCCCTCCCACGCCCTGCTCCCACCCACTCCCGCTGCAGGGAAGGCACCTGCTATACCCGGGTACCTGTGGGCAATCGACGGCTTGTGGCCCTCGCCGCGGCACCAGGGCACATCCTCGTGCAGGTAGGAGAGGCCTCGGGACATGGTCTCCGCCACGTGACACAGCTCGTTCCAGGTGATGATGTTCCCCTTGAGGTAATCCGTGAGGGAGCCCTAGGGGAAGGCAGCACAGACCTTGGGCAAGACCTCGGCACCCGGTCCTGGGATGGACGGCCGGCAGGACAGAGGCCGGCGCTGAGCCTGATGTCCACGCAGATCCGAGGGCGCCGTGCAGGGGTCAGCCCTCCGTGGGTGGACAAGGGCGCAGGCTGGGTCCGCCTCATGGGGCGTGGCTCACCTTGTCGTGGAAAGCCGTGATGAGCCACAGCTCCACTTCCAGGTTGGAGCCTCGCTTCTCGGCAGCGATGAACTGCAGCAGGTTCTCGTGCTTCATGCCGGGCGTGCTGAAGATCTCCCACTCACTCTGCCACGACTGCTTGTCCTGCGGCGGAGGACACTGCTCTCAGCTCCCGTTCCCCAAGCCCTGGCCTCCCAGCCCCAGCACCCACGGGGCCCAGAAGCCTAAGCCGGGGCTGAGCCCTGGGCCACCAGACCAGTGCCGGAGATGGCTTAAGGCCAGCACCTGAAGACCCAGCATGTGCCAAGCAGGGCTAGGCCTGGCTCCCCTTCAGAGAGGCCAGAGGCCCTGGAGCCGGTCTGAAGCCATATTCAGATGTCAAAAATCAAAGCGTGGGGCGGGACGGGGGAACCCTCCCTGGCATGGAGGATAGCACGCTAATCCTCCACCTGCAGTGTCGGCTTATGATATGCATGCCAGTTCATGTCCTGGTTGTTCAACCTATTTTCTTAAACGATTTTACATTTATATATGTATATAAGATTTATTTTATTTTTATTACAAAGTCAGATATACAGAGAGGAGGAGAGACAGAGAGGAAGATCTTCCGTCCGATGATTCACTCCCCAAGTGAGCGCAACAGCTGGAGCTGGGCCAATCTGAAGCCAGGAGCCACGAGCTCCTCCAGGTCTCCTACACAGGTACAGGGTCCCAAAGCTTTGGGCCGTCCTCGACTGCTTTCCCAGGCCACAAGCAGGGAGCTGGATGGGAAGGGGGGCTACCAGGATTAGATCCAGCGCCCATATGGGATAGCGGTGCATTCCAGGCAAGGACTTAAGCTACTAGGTCACTGCGCCGAACCCAGATTTTATATATTTTTATTGGAAAGTCACATATACAGAGAGGAGAAAAGACAGAGAGGAAGATCTTCCATTCGCTGACTCATTCCACGAGCGGCCAGCCAGAGCTGAGCAGATCCGAAGCCAGGGTCCCAAAGGCCACAAAAAAATTGGAGCTGACGGGATTAGAACTTGCACCCATATGGAATCCCGACACTTTCAAGGCAAGGACCTTGGCCACTAGGCTAACACACCGGGCCCTGTTCAACTTCTGACACAGCTTCCTGCTTATGGTCTGGGCCACACTGAGAAATACCAGGGAAGCAGCTTGGGCCTGTGAATCCACATGGGAGACTTGCAAGAAGCTCGAGGCTCCAGGTTCCAGACTGGTTCAGTTCCGCCTTTGCAGCCATTTGGGGAAGGAACCAGCAGATGGAAAACCTCTCATTTTCTCTCTCCCTCTCTGAAGCTCTTTCAAGTAAAATAAATAAATCTTAAAAACAAACAAACAACAAACAGGGTGCAGTGTGATGGCTCAGTGGTTAAATCCTTGCCTTACATGCACTGGGATCCCATAAGGGCACTGATTCATGTCCCAGCTGCTCCACTTCCCCTCCAGCTCCTGCTTGTGGCCTGGGACAGCAGTAGAGGATGGCCCAAAGCCTCGAGACCTTGAGCCCATATGGGAGACCTGGAAGAGGCTCCTGGTTCCTGGCTTCGGATCGGCTCAGCTCCAGCCACTGCAGCTGCTTAGGGAATGAACCAGTGAATGGAAGATCTCTTTGTACTCCTCTCTCTAAATCTGCCTTCCCAATAAAAATAAACAAATCTTAAAAAAAAAAAAAAAAGGAAAAGGAAAGGAAAAAGGAAAGAAAGGATGGTTGGAAAAAAGGAAGCAGGGAGGGAGGAAGGAGGCCCGGAAGGTGGAGTGTTTCACAGCTTGCAAAGCCCTGGTCCCATCATAAAACGTCATTGCTGCATGGGACCCGGGCACCAGTCACTGCAGGCTGGCTCAGCAGCAACCCCTCCAAGGAGACTCGCTTCTCTCTCACCTCCGACCCCCCCAAAAAAGGCTGGGGGCTCCAGCTGAAGCCACAGTGGCCATGGAGCCCCTGGAACGCTCACCTGCAGCGGGAAGATCTTGACAGCCACAAAGTCGTTCATGAGCTGGGCCTTCCAGACGCAGCCAAAGCGGCCCCGGGCCTTGATCTCCAGCAGCTGCAGTGGCTTCAGGCCCACCAGAGGGGACGGTGGTGGAGGCCCCGGGTCCTGCGGACGAGCACAGGCTGGGTAGACCTGGCTCAGCCTGCACACCTCTCCCGTGCCCCGGCCCAGCCACGCCGTCTCACCTCGTGGATGTCCACATGGCCGTAGGGGGGCTTGCGGTGCCGGTATATCCAGAAAGCCAGCAGGACGATGAGGGAGAGGCCCCCGATGGGCAGCAGCAAGTAGGCCAGCACCGTGAGTAGGGTGGGGGCTGTCGGGGGTGGCTCGTAGGTGACTGGGGGACACACGGAGCCCTGTGTCACACAGCCCGCCCGCTCTTACATCCAGGCAGCCCTCTGGCCACGACCACCCCACGCACCAGCCAGGTGCTCTCTAGTTCCAGGAGAGCCCAGGACCTGCCAGCTCAGGCCCCTCACCTTCTGGGCCGCCGGCCTCTGGCAGGTGGGTGAACCGCTCATTGCAGAAGTTGCCTTCACAACAGCAGAAGTACACCTGGGGGTTCTCCTCCGTGGCCACGCACTCCTGCCTAGGGGCAAAGATTTCCCAACAGCCCCTCAGCCTGCAGGCAGCTGGGATGCCCAGGCCAGGCTAGCCCAGCCCAGCCTAGCCCAGCCCAGCAGGGTGCAAGTGCCTCCTGAGACGGTGAGGCAGGACAGGGGCAGCCAGGACTTGACCCTGACACCCCTGCTCAGGGCTGGGACCTGGCAAGCGCGATGGCAGGAAGGCTCCAGACCTTGGGCACCCACTGGGACGCCCCGAGACCCCTGGGGCCGGCGGACCACAGCACACCTGTCGTAGCAGTTGAAGTCGTCCAGCCAGCAGCCCTTCTTGACGAGCTCGATGGTGCCGGAGCTGTTGCGCCAGGAGGCATAGCAGTGTAGCCGCTTGTCCTGCTCACCCTCGCAGCGCTCCAGGCCGCTCTGGTTGGTACGCTCCAGCTCCCAGTTGGCATTGTAGTAGATGCACTCCCGTGTCTCGGCTTCCCCACGCCCAGAGCCTGCAGCCCAGAGAGGAGGAACCTGAGTGGAACCTGCACCCCGGGGGGAGGGGAGGCATCAGGCTGGACACCATGCCACCTACACGCTCAGCGACCCCAGGCCTAGGCAAGGGGGAGGCAGGAGAGCTGGCGCCACTGTGGAGCTTGCATGAGCAGCTGGCTGGACCGGCAGACTGCGAACCCGAGGCCACAGAAATGAACAAGGGGCCCTCACAGTGGTGTTTCTAAAAATGCCTAATCCCAGGCCAGCCCTATTCCCCCAAGGATGGGGGCAGAATCAGCGTGTTAACCATTCTTCTCGGCCTCAGGTGATGCAGGTGCACACCCAGGGACCATCCCAGGATACTCTCCTGGTGCTCCCATCCTCCACCCTGCTCCACTGCCTTCCCCAAGCCCCCTTCTACACACAGCAGTCACACCTGAGCTACGGGATGTCGCAGAGGATCAAGTCACAGGGGCTGGAGAGGCAGCTGGCGGCCGAGGTGGCCACAGACACAGGATGTCCTCCCAGGCAGGCTGGACCTGCGGCAACTTCCAGGCACTGTCCATTCAGCTGGACCAGACTGTTACCTGTGCTGGCAATTGCCTTCCTCCAAATGTGGCTTCTTCGCTCACCAGCCCGCCTCCTTACCAACCCCTACAGCACAACCCTAGGCCCTCAGGAGCCCATCCATCGGCTGTCATGGGAGAGCTGCAGGAAGCCCAGGGGCCTCTGACTGGGAGTGCTCTGCCTCGGCCCCTTGTTCCCCCTTGTGGTGCCTGCAATGGAGGCAGGCGGGAGCATGCTCGGCCTCTCCACCAGAACCCCTCGTGGACACTGGGCAGGGGTCAGCACACCACCCTCCCACCCTTCTCTCCTTGACTTCCTGGGCCTGCTCCCCAGGCCGCTGTCATGGACAGGACCCGTGGGGGAAGGATTTGGAGCGCCAAATGTCAAGGCTGCAGGGACACCGAGGGCTCCAGGATCTCAGCCCAGCCAAAGGCAGCCTTGAGCAGCCCACACAGCCAGGCTGTGTGACCCTGCGCACCACCTAGTCACTCAGAAAGGGGATTCTAATGACACCTCCAGGTGGGTTAACTGACAACCAGACCCAACACTGGGCCTTTGCTGTTAGAGCTGGCCGCTCCCTGCTGCCTGCGGTGGTCACTTACAGCACAAGCTCGGCCAGAGCAGTGGACTCCAAGCTCCACGTTGGCACCCGGTGCCCCTGCCACACCACAGCCCGCCTCTGCTGCCAGCTGGAGACCCGGGGGCCTCCCTAGCTCTGCTTCTTCACACACACGGCTATTTATAGTCTCTGGCACAACTCCAACAGCAAGGCCACCTCAGCCTTTTAATAGGCAAGGGCTCCCGCCTACGGCCCTGGAGCCAGGCACCTACGCATGGGAGGCTTCCCTTTGGCCCCCAGCCTACCCAGCCAGCCATCCCCGCCGGAGGAAGCTGTGCTCCCAGCACTGAAGGCTGATGTCCACCCCCCCGGCCAACTCCAGGGCTGGACGCCTGCTGTACCCCAAGTCACAGTCAACACAACCATCAGCCTCCAATGGCATGTCTCCGGGGGATACGAGTGAGAATGCCCAGGAGGGGAGGCACGGCAAGTAGCCTACAGCCTGGTGGAAAGCGGCCCTTCTGTGTGCCCCACACCTTATGATCAAGAAGGGCAAACACAACTCACAGACACACTCCATACCCCAACACACGTACACAAAGAGAGAGAGAGAGAGAAAGAGAGAGAGCCTACTCCAAGTCAAAATTGCAAGGAGCAAGCCCTAAAGGAACCTGGTCCCATCGCAAGTAGCTCATGCAGCGGACAAATCCTGTCCTCCTGGGAGGGGCTCAGCATGCAATGGGGGAAAGAAGCATGGTGGCAGAAGATGGGGGGGTTTGGAGCCGAAGAGCTCCAAAGGTTTGGGGTGTCCCACAGGAACCTCCACAGGCAGCAGGCGCCCATTCCTACCCAGGTGTGCACTGTGCGGCTCACAGGAAACAGCTCCTCCAGTCCTCATGCTACATAACACAGAGGTTAAGTAATTCACTCACGTTTTCAATGAGAGTTGAAACAAGGTTTCACACGCCCCCACCCTTGGCTCTGGAATGCATCCATGCCCAGTGCTGTGTGTTAACAGTCTGGCACATGACCTCACCACGTCTCGGGTTTCCACGCTTTGCTGGACTTGGGCTACCTGTGTTGGTGTAATCTGAGCAAAGCCTCTTGGAGCCCCTTCGCTCTTCTCCCTACGATTACACCTGTGGCCACCCACCCGAGGCAGCCAACACAGAGTCAGAGGTCTGAGGAGCTTGAGCTGGCTGACCATTGTCAAGCTCCTCCTCCAGGACAGGCACCCCTGTGGGCCTGGCCCCATTTCTCTGCCCACGTTGACAGCTGCCAGTGGCAGCTGGCACAGTTCTGACCCCATGGCCCGAGTGCTCTGAGCCGCTGGGTTCCTTCCCTCCTGCTGGTCCACGGGGCTGCTCTTCCAAGAGCTGCAGGCATTCTCCGCGTGTTCCTCGTAGGCAAGCGTTGACTGCTTGCCTGTACGCTCGTGACCCCCATCAGCCACTCCACTCTCGAATGCTATCAGAGCCCTGATGGTTCTGTGGGGTCTCCCGCATTTATCTGAAATCTTTCTGGCTCTTGGTGCCAGCACGATGGCTCAACTGACTGAGCCTCTGCCCGCATGCACCCGCCTCCCATGCGGGAGCCGGTTCGTGTCCCAGCCTCTCCACTTCCATCCAGTTCCCTGATAATACATTTAAGAAGGCAGTGGAAAATGGCCCCATGAGGAAGACCAGGAGACAGTTCCGAACTCCTGGCTCTGACATGGTCCACCACTGGCCATGGTGGCCATCTGAGGAGTGAAGCCAGCAAATTCAGGATTTCTCTCTGTAACTCTGCTTTCCAAATCAATCAATCTTTAGTGAAAAAAAAAAACAGAGTATAAAAGCCTCAAGTTTATAGCTGCCATCTTTTCCAAATTACATATAATGTGTTACTTGTATGTATGTTCATTACTGAGTAGGTTTTTGGTTTGTTTGGTTTTTGTGGGTTTTTTGATTTTGGTTTTTGGCTTTTATTTTGCTGTGTTTGATTTTGTTATTTTCTTACCTACCGCCAAACCAAGATGTGATTTGCACACTACCCAAGTGGCTGCAATAGCTGGAGCTGAGCCAACCTGAAGCCAGGAGCCAGGAGACTCTTCCAGGTCCCTAGGGCTTTGGGCCATCCTCGACTGCTTTCCCAGGTCACAAGCAGGGAGCTGGATGGGAAGTGAGGCTGCTGGGATTAGAACTGGTGCCCACATGGGATCCCAGCAAATGCAAGATGAAGATGTTAGCCACTAGGCTACCATGCCAGGCCCCTTATGTATTTTTAAGCTTTATATCTATTTATACTGGAAAGGCAGAGCTACAGTGGGGAAAGAGACACAAAGAGAGATCTCCCTTTCAGTAGTTCACTTATCAACTGGCCACAATGGCTGAAGCTGAGCCAAACCCAAAGCCAGGAGTCAGGAGCTTCTTCCCGGTCTCCCAGATGAGTGCAGGAGCCCAAGGCCTTGGGCTGTCCTTATTCCCCTGCTGTTTTCCCAAGCACATCAGCAGGCAGCTGGATCAGCTCTGGCAGTAGCCGGGATTCAAACTGGCCCCACTGGCCCAGGAGGGGGCTTAGCATGCTAAGCAAACGTCAGCCCACCCACAGTTGATCTGATCTGTCCATGCCCCCACCAGCTTGTCTGTCACTCCTTCCTCTGGCACGTGGTCCTTCCGGAGACTGTCAGCACGGAAGCCTTCCTGGTTTTCTTACCGGGTTCCTTTGCCTTTTTTTTTTCCTCCCCTGAATCACAGCGTGGATGAACACAAGATTTGAGACAAGGTCATCTTCTCTCAGCACCGTGAGGAATAAAGGAGACTCTGCCCCGGGCTGACTTCTTAGATCTTCCTTGCAGATCCACAAGGAATGTGGCTGAGCAGGTGTATGAGCTGATGTACCTGCTTGGCTCCCTGGCCATTTAGTCTTGGCGCTGTGGGAAGTGCCCTCGATGGAGACACTGCCTCAGGAGGCAGTGAACTGGTTATAAAGGGAGAAGTCTTGGGCCCAGCACAATGGCTCAACTGGCTAATCCTCCACCGTCAAGTGCCAACATCCCATATGGGCCCAGTTTGTGTCCCAGCTGCTCTGTTTCCCATCCAGCACCTTGTTCGTGCCCTGGAAAGGCAGTGGAGGACGGCTCAAAGCCTTGGGACCCTGCACCCATGTGGGAGACCCAGAGGAAGCTCCTGGTTCCTGGGTTCGGATCAGCTTCAGTTCTGGCCACTGCGGCCACTTGGGGAGTGAGCCAGAAGACGGAAGATCTTACTGTATCTCCTTCTCTCTGCAGATCTGCCTCTCCAAGAAAAAAAAAATGAACAAATCTTTTTTTAATAAATCAATGAATCAAAGGACAGGCCTGGCCCTGCCTGTTCTGCTTCCTTGTGATGAAGACAGCAGCCCTCGCCCAATGTGGGTGCTGTTCACCGGAGCTTCCCAGCCCCCAGGCCCACGAGCCACACCACATGTACTTACAAATTACCCCGGCGGCACCACTCCGTTACGTCATAAAAAAAAAAAAAAGATACAAATGGATCTTCCTGTTCTGTTTTCAAGCCTGCATCCACGCATGTGGAATGGGAGGATATAGGATAAGCAGTATCTTCGGCACCAGACCAAATGCCCACCCCATGGTTCTATTTGTGAAATTTTACTAAGGATTTGTTCACATATGTTCACCTGAGGTATTAGTTCTATGTGTCTTAACTGTTCTATGCTGCCCTCTTTTTCACTCTTTTTTAGATTTTTTTTTTTTCATTTTTATTGGAAAGACAGCTTTTTACAGAGAAGGAGAAACAGAAAGCTCTTCCATCCACTGGTTCACTCACAGTTGGAGCTGAGCTGATCCAAAGCCAGGAGCCAGGAGTTTCTTCTGGGTCTCCCATGTAGGTCCCAAGGCTTTGGGCTATCCTC